AAAACTCGTGTTTGAATCATCAGTGGCAAATCCTTTAAATATGAAAACGTACTTACTGTCTGTGAGTCAGAACTGCCAGCATTGTAGTCTACTCTACCAGGATCAGAAAACAGTCCTCCATAAAATGTGCTGCACACATCTGAATATTTGGGTTGGAGTGTTCTGGAACACTGATTTCGTGTCCATTTTTGAAAGGTCAAACAAAGTAGTTTCGCTTTCACAACGAAACACAGCGTCACACACGGTGGCCTAGAGTGAGCAGAGGCTTGAGTGAGGAAAGGCGGCGGGCTTGAGAACGGCGCGGCCGGCGGATTCGACGAACGTTTTAGGTTCTTTAGATCAATGTTTTGCATTCTGTGTTCTTCTAAGAACAGAACTGAAGAACAAAATGTTCTGTGTGGAACTTTAACATGTTCTCATCAAGCTGTAAAATGTGTTTTGCTTCTAATTCCAATATTTGTTTTCATAACATACATTCTGATAAACTCAAAGTTTGACTAATTGTGTGGAAGGATAATGTCCAGTTCATTAAGAAGAACCTCCTTCTTTAGAGGACATGGAAATGTTCTTCTCCAAAATGTCCGATAATAATAGTCTTTGGATTTGGTGATTGGAAAAGCCATATTCTGGTGTTCCAAAACCACTCTAGGTTGTGTTTAGCCATGGGTATGTGTATATTGGCTGATATTATTGCCCATACAGACCTATCATTGGACTTGATGATTCCCCTCAGTGTTTAACAGTTGCTTGTATTGAAAGCATCCATTGACTTTCTCCAGACGTGGATAGACTGTAGGAAAGTGATGACTCATAAAACCATACTCCCATCAGACCATTGCTTAAGGTTCCAGGTTTGGTGCCTCTAACACAAATTATCCATCTCTGTGTGTTGATCTTGGATACAAGAGGATTTTGAATAGTCGCCCTGCCATAAAGTTGTCTTGTGAAACTCTCCATTTACAGTGCTGAGTCAAAAGTGATTCAGGTCTGGGGTCATTTTTGAGGCTCTTCTTTTGTAATATTCATTAAGTATCATCTCCATTTATCATATAGAATTTTAGTTTTTGTTCATAACCCACAGTAATGTTCAAAAGTTTGGTGTTGGTATGTTTTTTTAAATGTTTTTGAAAGAAGTCTTTTATGCTCATGAAGGCTGCATTTATTTGATCAAAAATACGGTAAAACAGTAATATTGTGAAATATTGTTTAAATTTAAAATAACTGTTTTCTGTTTGAATATATTTTAAAATGTAGTTTATTCCTGTGATTCAAAGCTGAATTTTCAGCATCATTACTCCAGTCGCCAGGGTCACATGATCCTTCAGAAATCATTCTAATATGCTGATTTGCTGCTTGAGAAACATTTCTGATTATTATCAGTGTTGTAAACAATTGTGCTACTTATTTATTTTTTGTGGAAACTGTGATACATTTTTTCAGGATTGTTTGATGAATAGAAAGGTTAAAAGAACAGCATTTATTTGAAATATAAATCTTTTATAAATGTCTGTACTGTCCCTTTTGATCAATTTAATGCTCAAAATTATTTTTTATTAAATTTTTAAAAATTAATTCTTCCTAACCCCATACTTTTGAACAGTATTGTAAAATTTGGACCTGATTGGCATGTTTTCAACTT